AGCAAATGCTATTGGAATAACTAACCACTTTTAAAAATTGGATTTAACATTCACTCCAAGACACAACTCATACTTGACACAATCAATGAAGCCAAGAACCTGTGGTTAGTTAGGTCATGGTCCCTAGGGAAGAACTACTACTATTATTCTGCTATATAGCATTAAAACAACTCCCAGTGACTTGTTGCTATACCCACACACCCTCATCAGAGAAGCTTATACTTGCATAAGATGATGGCTAACAAAAAGACCAACAACTGCTAACATGTAGAGAATAACAAACCTTGGCATACTCAGCCCTCAGTGGGACATCTATGTCACACCTGGCCCCTTAAGGTTCAGGAATCCATGAGGAAAAGTGAGCGGAGGAGTTGTAAGACACAGAATTGGAATAGTGTGTTTTCTGGACACAACCAGGCAGCTGCACATAGGAACTCTCAGCATCTGTGACAGTGTGCACAGGACCTGCACAAGCTGAAGCCAAACCAAAATCTCAGCATGGAGGGGAGGAAGGGAACGTGAAGTCCCACCCCTAGAGGAGGAGTTAGTGGCATTTGATTGCTACCAGGAAAAGGAAAATCATTTTTTGCTAATGCTGTGAGAACTAGTACAGTGACCATAATCTAGGGCAGACATGGACAGGAGTAGGTGGTCAACAGAAACTGGACTTGATGTGTTTAAAGAAGGAGGAGGGAGGGAGAAGGAGGGAGGAAGGCAGGCAGGGAGAGAGAAGAGAGGAGACAGAAGAGAGGGAGAGGGAGAGGGAGAGGGAGAGAGAAGAGAGAGAGAGAGAGAGAGAGAGAGAGAGAGAGAGAGAGAGAGAGAGAGAGAGAGAGAGAGAGAGAGAGAGAGAGAGAGAGAGAGAGAGAGAGAGAGAGAGAGAGAGAGAGAGAGAGAGAGAGAAAATGAAGTTATTGGGATGAGGTGGTGAGGGGATCTGGGAAGAGTCAAGGGAGGGGGATAAATATGAACAAATGCATTGTATAAAATGCTGAAAGAATTAATAAAACTATTATTTTTTAAAGAGCATGTAATGCTCTTGCAGAGGAACCAAGTTCAGTTCCCAGCACCCAGTTTGGGTGGCTTACAATTGCCTACCGCTCTGTCTCCAAAAAGATCCAATGCCTCTGGACTCAATGGATACCTGCATTCATGTGTATGTATCCACTCCCCCTCCACACACATAGCTAAATATACAAAATAAATGTTAAAAACATGTCTGAGCCTCTTACTTTGTTCAGTGCATTTCCTAAGTGTTTAAAAGTCCATGTTTTGACATAATTTTCAAATATGGGGAAAAGTGAGACTCCCATACAGAAAAGAAGAAGCCTGTGGTTCTTTTCAGCTCTGGTTTCAAGAGCTCACATGTACTTTCACTATAACATGAATAAGGCTGTAGCTTTAGTAAGGGTGAGAAGCAAAATGCTTTATGACTTTGAGGAGTATTAACTCTTGGTGGCCAGAGGTGGAGTCTTTATAAAAAGTTGACTGTGAGGCACATACTATCCCTCAATATGTTTGCACATTAGTGACAAAGCCTCCTCTACATAGCAGCTTGCAATGAATAACAGCTCCCCAGCCTTCTCAGCTGTGTGATCTCCATGACACTCACTGTCACAGCTGGTGTTGGAGATGTTTTCTCATGCTGTATATGAATCACTTTGTTTTCAGGATGGCACTGTGTAAAGTAGAGTGACTCAACGGGGTAGTAGCTCTCTGACGGCATACATTTTAACTATGCCTTAGACTTGGAATTAGAAAAACCCCAGTTTGGCAGCCATCACAGTCATAGACAGTTTAGAAAGCAACACCAGTGCATGCCAAAACAAGAGCTATAAACTTTGATTACGGACGGGAGTGCTCATCATATGCAAATGAAGCAGAGAGGAATAGAAGGAAAATCTAGGTGAAGTAGGTGTCATCTCAACACAGTGATGAGAGCTGATGGGAGCATCAGTGAGCAACTGTCCTTTGTGTCATCAGGTATGATGCCCTAAGAAGCACACATGTCACAACCTGGATATAATCATAAGGAGATGTAAGAAAAATTGGATTCTGAGAGTTAGTAAATAATTGTACTCTATTCTTGAAATGCATTAGGAAATGATGAGGGAAGACCGAGGTACTTCCCCAGAATGCAAGAAATTGAAGGATCTGGGTATGGTGTTATAAATGTGTAGTCCTAGCACTAGGGAGGCTGAAACTGGAGGACAGAGATTTTCAACAAGCCTGGGCTTCAGGGATAGGCCCTATCCCTAAAACAAAACAAATAAACAAAGAATGAAGGATAATAAAGACAAGTAGGCAGGTGGATAGATGGATAGATAGGTATTGAAGAGACTTGATAATGGAGACAGCATGAGCCAGAACTTTCCCCCTCCTATTAAGACATTTTGGGGCAACTGGCAAAATCTGACCAAAGTATATTGGTGGAAGTATTAAGGCAACTCTATGTAGTTTAAAGGGAGGTTTATTTTGTGGGGTAACTTACAAGTAAAGGGATAGGTTACAGGGTCCAGGAAAGGTGTAATGCAGTCCAGTGGTGTTCTCTGGAGAACTCTGCTCGGTCTACCTCCAGCATTCAGGATCCAGGAACCACGAGAGCTGGCACATCCGGATCTCAGGTCTTAAGGGCTCCTGTCTTGGCCCTGCCTTCTAGGCATGACAGTTACCAGAAGCCTCAATGGGGGTAGTACTTCCAGGTCAAAGCTGGAACAGCTGCCCACTACAAAAGTATGCAACAGAGAATGTCCTCTTGTTTGGGAAACACAATACAGATTTTAAGAATGGAGATATTATGTCTGAAATTTATTTTTGCTAGTACAGAAGGAAAGTATACCTGTGAAGAGGAAGGGATGGATGGATGAAAGGAGAGAAGGAAGAGGAGGAGGAGAGGGATGAAAGAACCAAGAGAGAAGGAGGTAGAGAAAATTCTGGAAGTTGGTTTTCTGTGTGAAGTATGGGGGGGCTCTTTTAAATGTTTTGCAGATATTTGGGAAGTACCAAATTATATCAACACCAAAAATCATAAAACAAGTGTTTTGTTGTTAAATGGCAATAGATTTCTTTGGTATGCTATAGTTCCTTTCTGGAATTATGTTGGATGTTGGGTTTGGCAATAAATACCTTACTGGAGGTGTGAAGCCTGTCAGAGATCATAGAAGGAAGAACAAACTCACCCCCAATACATACACATGTGTATCTTCTGCCCTGCCATTCCAAACTACCACAGGCAGCTGTCACAGTCCCTGAACTCAATGGACAGGCATTGGCTGCTAGAAGACACAGCTCAAAGCAGGAATAGATTTAGGCACTGGTCATTCACAAAGGCTTAGCTGGTGATCTTAGACTGAAGGACAAATAGCTACTGCTATTTCATGACAATCCTCCCAGGCAATCTGTTTACTTAGTTTCTGCTCCTTTGTTTCCAGTCTTCATCTCTCCAATGCTTCATGTCTATATAATTTAGTCCATACTTAGCCAATGTAATTCCCTTTATATTTATAATACAGCACTTTCTTCTAGCATAGGCCATTTTCCTTCTTTTTAAATCTGAATTTTTATTTATTCTTTGGAAATTTCACGCTTGTATACAATGTATCTTGATAATGTCCACTCTACCTTCCTTCCCTCCAACTCTCTTCAGGACCCTCATCACCTTTCCTTCCCAGCATCATGCCCTCCTTTTAGTATGCATTTATTGACCTTATGAGTCTAATTAGTGCTGCCCAAATGTACATGGGCATGGAGTCATCACTGGGGTATAGGAAACCTACCAGTGACCACATTCCTGAATGAATATGACTCTCCCTCTCCTACCAGCCATCAACTGCCTATAGTTCCTTAGTGATGGGACCTTGGGCACCTCTCCCCTCCATGATGAACATTTTAACTAGCTGGATCTTGCGCAGGTCTTATATAGGTTAACCATTGCTTCTGTTGGTTCATGTAGTCAATAACCATGTCATCATATTCATGTTTCTCTTTGTCTAAACTAGATAGCTGGAAATAATAACACTAGCAGGGGCTGGGGTAAGGATGTAGCTTAGAAGGTAGAATGCTTGCCAAGCAACCAAGCAACTGGGTTCCACCCTCAGTACTATGTTAAATAGGGGAGGAAGGTGTGGTGGCCCATGCCTGTAATCCTAGCCATCAGGACTGAGGCAGGAGATCAGAAGTTCAAGGTCATCCTTAGCTATATAGTAAATTTGAGGGCAGCACAGTCTTCATGAGACTATTTCAAGAAAAGGAAAAATACTGAGCACCAACTTTCATATGAAACATTATTTTAGATTATAATATGCAATACACATAAACATGCAAAATCTGATCTTTTCATTTTATGTGTGAGAAATTTATGAATCCCATTTTTAGAGCTCATCAGGCTGAGAATGAAAAGGTTAACTGTCTAGCTGTGTCCTTTTCCTACCTAATTCCTAAAATATGTACCTTAAAATGTTAAGGTTGTTATTTGAAAAACATGTGAGGGGGCAATGGCCAAATGAACTTGAGATATGTGGTATTTAATCAAGTCCATCAATTACCTTCAGTTCCACCATGCAACGGGGGTCCTGTTACTCAGTGTTTATGTGCGACTGCACACTCTCCACTTAATACTCACAACTGGTCAGCAGCCTGTTTCAAATGATTGTTTGCTGTATTCTATGCAATGTCTTGCATCCAAATAGCATTCCAATAGATGGCATTTATGTGCAGAATAGGCTGTGTCTTGTATTTAATTTTCTTTCCCATATTAAGCTATAGTAGGCTGTTTAATACGTGCCCCATGATAACTGGCAGGGGCTGCCTATACCATCTCCTTCCTTCCTATGTGTCCCTTAGTAGTTCCGGATTTTTCACCCATCTAGATTACTTACATTTTACATATAAACTAAATGACCTTTGGATGTCCTAACGCGGAATGCTAATGTACAGGAGTTTCAGCCTCCTGACAGCCTTTGATTACATTTGTGTAACTCCTCATTCTCTTTTTCATCCAGGTAGGAGGAGAATCCCCAAAGGATTGGAACAAGAAAAGAAACACTTAATTTAAATCAGCACTACATACCTGGCAGTTGGTGAAAAAAAAAAAAAAAAAAAAAAAACGAAAGTGCTATAAAACAGTTCATCAGGAAGTGCCATGCTGTGTTAAATTATAGGTAATAAAGTCACCGTGTCATGAAGAAAGCCACTACACAGACTAGGAAATGACTTTTCTAAGCTGTGAGAGTCACATTCATTTCTATTTCCTGGGATTACCCAAGGGGCATGACTGCATTTGGATGACAGTAAGCGCACACTGCCTGCCAGGTCCTTGTGGTTCTGTGAGAAGCCCTGAAATTTCAGTATCTTTGCAAAACAGATACTGAACACTAAAAGGCATACACTGAAGAAGGCATACATGGCTGAAGCTTCTGGGCTTAAATGAAGTTGGACTTATACTCCCCCAAGACTCCTCCTCAAAGACAGCACCAAACGATGCTGCAGCCCAACTCAGGTGCTAGGGGAAGATTGTGCCCCACCTGTCAGATGTTGGATATAAGAATTAAGGGACTCTGGGGGGCACAGGACAGATAGAGGAGCTCTGAAAGGTTGATATCACTTAAGGTTACAATGAAGAAGTCTCGGCTACCAGAGTAAGTAGAAGGAAGTGGCATTTGTGTATCTTCAGTTTGCAAAAGAATGTAATCTACATTGCTGGGTTTACGGGAAGGGAAGTTGAGTCTCCAAACCATGGCCTTCCCCCATCCTCTCTGCACAGGCAATTATTTTGAACCTACCTCTGCTTGCTGCATGGTGCATACTGGTCAGTAACTTCCCTTCATGACTAAGCTGTAAAGTGGTTAAAGACAGATACTGTCTCTAAAGTTTTCTTTCTTTTCTCATATTTTTCCTTCCCTTTCCTTTCACTTTTCAGCTGTGTAACCATGGCTGGTCTAGTACTAAATATGTACACCAGGCTGGCATTGAACTCATAGAGACCTACTTACATCTGCCTGCCAAGTGCTAGGATTAAAGGTGTGCACCACTGTGCTCAGGCCCAGTTTTCATTTTTACATGAGTATGTAGGATACAATCTTCTTTATCATGGATACTTAATAAATATTTGTGTGTTGGATAAACATATCTGCCTGTAGGATGCTTATAAGATGGCTGGTGGATCTCATAAGAGAAGCGCTCAATGGGAAGATGGGGAGAGACAAATAGGAAGGACATTAAGGATATAGGCAAGAGATTTCTGACCTCAAGAAACAAATACCAGAGCTTTCTTAGATGATAGAAACTTGAAGCAATGTTAGTCTGATTTTAATTGTGGAGTTATAAGTATAGGTTAAGGGACATCTGGAGAAGAATATGCATAGTTTATCCTGCTTCTGTGTCATCTTATTTAAAAACAAAACAAAACAAAAATCACAAAAAATAAAACCAACCAACAAACAAGAAATCCAGGTACTGCTAGCTCATACAATCAAGGGTTCTGTGGCTGAGTAAGTTTGGAAAAAAATCTACAAAATGATAACTCAGAGTATTATTTACTACCCCATGTCCCAGTAAATGGAGAATTAATCAGAGAAGGGATATCATATGTGACCATCTTCCTTGCCAACTTGGAAATGAAATCACCATGTGTGAGCAGAGATCACTGGGTACTGACTGTGTACAGGTATTGGTGAAATTATTAAGGAAACTCCACATAGTTAAAAGGGAGGTTTATTTTGTGGGGTAACTTACAAGTGAAGGGATAGGTTACAGGGTCTGGGAAAGGTGTAGCGCAGTCCGGCGGTGTTCTCTGGAGAACTCTGGTCGGTCTACCTCCAGTGTCCAGGGTCCAGGAACCAAGAGAGCCGGGCATCCGGATCTCGGGTCTTCAGGGTCCTCTCCTGGCCCCCCCTTGTAGGCGTGACAGTTACTGAAGCCTCAATGGGGGTGGCACTTCCAGGTCAAAGCTGGAATGGCTACCCACTACTTACAAGTGCAAATACTCTATACTCTTTAATAAGTCGTGAATTTTCCATTTTGAATCTTATCCTAGTATTTGTAATTTTCTTAAGACTCAAAACTTTTAGCTTGAATTAATCAACAAGAACAAAACATTCATTTTTTTCTTCTAAAATTCTTATCCATTATTTTACTTGAATGTCCTAGAGTCAGAATCCATCATTAACAGTCTGAGCATGTCACCAATAGTCTTGGAAAGAATTCAATCAGTAAGTTGCTTTTGTGTAGGTACTGAAATTCTCTGGATTAAATTAGGCTGCCAAGCCTCTGCAATCCATGCTGTCCTATAGATAAATGAAACATTGCCCTTTTTATTATTTTCTTTAATAGTGTTGGGATAAGACACACTCTGTCCTACTGGTTCACTAGATGCAAGAAGTCAATCTTTTATGGTCAGTGCTAAAATCCATTTTTTAGTAAGAACTAAAAAATCTTCATATTGATTATAAACATTGAATATGAATGACCTCTTAGCATACATGTATGAACATGTCTCAATGAAATGATTATGTTGTACCACTGATAAATGTTAATAAAAAAAAGTACATGCTGATTCAAATACAATTGTCCCAGAAAGTAACTGTTTTCAAGAGGCAAGCATATACAGATTATCCTCCTGGGAAGAACAAAAATATGTTGAGTACTGTCTTTGAGTCTCTCATCACCAAGTCACAGAAACACTAGTGTTTCATAGGTCACAAGGTACACAGAAGGCATTTTATTACCAGCTGTTGAGTGAATGGGTTCATCTTTTTCTCCTCTGGTCATATCATGAGTCAAATTAAGTATGGAAATGTCATATTGTATGCCATCGTCACTTTTGTTTAATGGAATGCATTTCATCATTCTAGCCTAAACACAGGCTAGGTTGGGGTCCTGCTCAGAATAAGTGCTCAATATGTTAGTCATCTGAAAGGATGGCTAAAGCTGTCTCTCCAGCTTTTTACAGACTAATATATTCAATTACCTGCCTCACTTTACATCAAAGAACTCAATGGCTGTTCTCACCTAACTCAGCTAGTTGTTTGGCCCTCATTTAGTTACAAGTTGCCTGGAATCCTAGCCTCTGGGAGCTCTTACTCAAGAGCAACACACAGTGTCACACCCAATTTCCCCACCAGGCTTGCTGAGATCCCCTGTGCCTTCAGCAGTCTCCACAACTTCTATTTACTATCTCACTCAGGAGAATTCCTACTGGTTCTGGTTTCCTCTCTAGGTACTTTATCACACTGGTCAGGGGTAGAATTTTGTCTTACTCACTCCACTTATTCCTGTGATTTGAACTGTTTTGCTTACTGTGTACATTAAAATGTGAGACATACCCTTGGGAGGAAAGTTAAAATTGCTGAAGTCATACTCATGCCTTGAATCTGTAGGGAGCAGAAAACAGGACCCAATTTTTGAGAGTGCTTCAGAAAAGCAAAAGCTCACCTTGATGCTGATGTGAAAGGAATGTCAATATGGATTTCTGTGAGATATTAAATTACACAGAGAGTGGAAATCACTCATTGCTAATGTAGAGAAGACACAGAGTTTTCATCAGGCTTGAGCTATGGCTACATTCCGGCCTGCCTTAGCCATTACGAGATGAAAGCAGATGGAAATTACTAACTCCCTTCTAAGTCACATCCTTAAATGTTGTCTTATAAAGTAGTGTTAGCAGAGATCTTCCAATTTCAGAGGAGTGAGGAAAATGAGTCCTTCTTCTGAGCAGCCTGAGGCTACTGGCTGTCTGCAGCCCATCTTCACGTGCTGTCATTTTCCATGCCATCCTTGCTCAGAAGTGTCAGGGATCATGAGTAACCCCATCTCACTGACGTTGACTATCATTCGGTCCACTCAGGCTCTATCACACAAGGCTAGTCTGACATTTCCTGACTCTCCTCTAGTTGTACCCCTGTCTTTTGCCCAGCAATGGCTACATCCAGCAAAATTCTTACAGTCATATTCAGAGAATTGAATACTCATCTTTCAGGGCACAGGACAAGGTCTCCAATATGTATGATGTTGATGCATACATTCTTAAATACATACTCTATACTAACATAATATACAGTATGTATGCCCTGTGGAACATACTGTATTGACCCTGCTCTCTTATCGTAGTCACAACTACAAAGAGACTCTCCAGTCATGAAGCATCACCTGGTAATTGTGAATTCACTAGATGAAAGTAATCAAGTTCAATACAGACCAGGGCGGGGGAGGATGAAATCAAGGAGCCCAGGCCATTGAGAAGGCAAAAGCCTGGAGGAGAAAGTGAAGAAAGGGCCAAATGTACAGTGATTGACACTTGTACATTTCTACCCATTTGGTTATCGTAAGTAGGGTAGGTTGGTCTATGAGCTGAAAATCTCTGATGGTAGAGGAACTGACCTGTTATGATGGAGAAGAGTATAGCTTACTTAGGGATTCAGAGGCCTAGATTAAAATCCCATTCCCTCTACTTTCCAGTTGTGTGAGTCTGGGAAAACTTTCCGTTCTGTACCTTCTCAGATAATCACCCTCCAGGTCTGTGAAATAACACTTCGAATGTAAGTGGACTGTATATTTCAACGTTCATTTAGAGAGTAGCGCTTATTCTAAGTGTTGTTCTCTCTCTCTCTCTCTCTCTCTCTCTCTCTCTCTCTCTCTTGAACATGCGTGTGTACATGTGCATGTTAATAATAACTTCCCATCAAGTCATTATGAAATATTGAAATTAAATAGCAACTGGATCTGGAACACAGACTGTGCCCCCAAAGTCTTAACAATCGTGTTTGATGAGGTGCCTCCTTCTGTATCCTGCACACACGAGGAAATAATACACATCGGAAATGCTAAATGGCAACTATGAGTTTTCCCTATTATTGCTCTGGGGTAGAGCATAGCATAGTGCTTGGATATTTATTTTTCGTGAGACTCAGGTAGGCCTTAGCTATCCCTCCATAATAGAAAATTAAAAATTAACCATGAAGGAGTACAAGTGTCCCACCAAAGGGACAAAGACAGGGTATGGTACTGTTTCTGGGAATGGAAGTGCTACCCCAACTCATTCTAAAGTTCATGTCAGTCAAGGAAACAGTGGTAAGGGGGTTTAGGGAGAAGGGACAGACGCACAGAACCAAGTTCACATCTTAGGTCAATGGTATGTAATCATCATTGCATAACCATCTATTAGGAAACTTGTATCTTATGTATATAGTTTATTATAATAAAAATGTTTCTTAATATACCACCTATTGCCAAGAAGTGTCCCTTTTTAATTGTGTACCTAATCATATCTACAGTATGTCTGAGCTGACCTAAAAACACCTTTTCTATGGTCTAGCTTCCACAGTACCAGAAAATACTACACAAGTTGCCAAGGGAGGGAAACAATTAAACAGTCTTATGACACCTATGAACCTTGACAATTACCAGTATGGTAAAATATGCATAAAGGAGCAATAAGTGACATTCACTTATTGGTAATGATCAAGAGCTGGCTAATTGGATTTGAGGACCATTCAAAAGGAGAGAAAACATGCCTGGTACTGGAAACCTAGCCAGTTTACTAGGGCTATTGAGGTCATGAACCTTAGAAAATAAACTACTACAGACACTTTGCTAGACCATCAAAATCTCTAACTATGTTCTAAATCTTATATTTATACCATAGATAAGTGTAGCTACCGCCCCTTCTCAGAGAAGCCCTTTAACAACAAATGGAGCCATCACAGAAAACCACAACTGGACACCATGCAGAGATCAGCACATCATGGAGAGCCCAGACACAATGGATACATCTACATTACAGTTCCTACATCTGTGGTGTGGGGAACATCTGGGAAAAGGGACAGAAAGATTTTAAGGGCCAGATAGAAGAAAGTCTGCTGAGAAACAGTCTCTTCTAGAAATGGCATCATAGACAAGATTGGAACAATGGCAATATCAGTGGACATGTTAATGTGGAAGGGGGAAATTCTGGGGGGGCTCCACTCTTAGAAAAAAATTATAGGCAACTGAAGACCGCTGGGTGAAGGGGAATTAGCCTCTCCCAGGGATGAGGCCCTTATTCCCTTATTGATGTCCAATGCAGGGATGAGGTTAAAAAAAAAAAAGCTCTGAAGACTTTTTTTAACCTCATGGTTGTATGTAAGTAAGTAAGTAGGTATGTATGTATGTGTGTGTTTGTGTGTGTATGTATTCATGTATGTATGTATGTATGTATGTATGTATGTATATGCTGTCAATGAGAGTGGAGGGCACTGGAGGATTCAAGGTAAGGTAATTAGAAAGAGCTGGAAGGAGGGAAGGGAAAGAGAAAGTTGATGTAACTCTATCGCAATTAAAAGCATAATAAAAATTTAAGACTGTTTTAACTATTCTCTTTCCACAATAGAATTTTCTCTGGACAAATGATTACACAATGAAAATCAATTAAACTGATGATCATGGATTCTGTGTCTCCACTGCTTTAAATTTATTAAACCTGTTTTTGAATGTGTTTAAGTGCTCAGCAGTTTACAAGCGGCACTACCAAATTCATTAAAACCCATTTGTTACCTAATTTAAACATTGTGAAAAGGCCAAAACAATTATCCTAGGGATGGAGCTAACATATAGACACATGGATTCTTCATCATGGTTAGTGGGCTCTTCTGCAGAATATTGCTTCACCTGTATGTATATAGGGCTCTCCTGCTCCAGGCTGTGCTGTACAAAAGATGGAGATAAAGAGGGCTGGGTTGTCTTATTTTGTATTCCTAGTGAAACTGAGTATAATACCACACACCTGCAATTTTAGCACTGGGAAGGTTGAAGCAGGATGGAAGTTTTAGGTCAGCATGGGATACATAGAAAGACCCTGTCTAAAACAAAAATCAAAACATCCAAGAATGAAATGTGCCCTGGATATTCAGGATGGTATATCCTGTCAAGGGTTATCTTTTCTGTCAACATGGATTACTGCAGAATACAGTTGTGTTGTTCATTTCAGACTCATCTAGGAGATATGAAGGGAAATTAATTATCAGCTAATTTTAGACCAATTAGTACACAAGTCTAGCATAAATTGGAATCTACTTCTCTACTACATCTAAATTTCTTTATCAAATATATTATTTGTATCAAGATAACCAAGTCCGAGGACAGTGAAAGAGTAAATAAACCATGGTGTTATCTTGGTGTTTGCTTCTGCATCTCTGCAGAAGGGTAGGGATTAGGGAACAACGCCATTTCGTGTAAAGGAGGCCACTGTGCACATTACTGAACCCATTTAATACTAGGAGAGTCTGACACTTGGTTAAGTTAAAGAATCTTGTGAAGGTTATGCAGCTAATAAAATGTAAGATGAAAGATTCCTATCCCAGTGTCTTCAAAGCAGCTTTTCAGATACAGGTGAAAACAAAGTTGTGGTTCAGGGATAAGAGTTGACTAAGATAAACAAGGCAAAGGTAAGATTGTTTTGTGTAAACCCCTTATCTGGTCCAGAAAATGTGCACTCAAGCCGGATTGACTTCTAGAGCTTATTGGACCAAACAAAACCCAAGAAATGGCTTTATCTTAATACACAAAAAGGGTCGATGGTAGGCTTTGGTTTGGGAACAGATTCTCTTTAGCTAGTAGAAGCATTGTAAGGCATTATGTTGAGAAAGTATTCTGAGAGCTTGGTCAAGTTGGTAGTAAAGAGTCGTGTGCTTGGTTAGCTGTGTCTGCACAACCTGTGGGGAACAGAAGGAATGGCATGAGTGTCTCAGATTTTTTCACCCTTGCTCTAGGCACAAAAATCAGAGAATACTTAGCAATAGCTTTCCCAAGAAAAGTCCCAAGAGCTTGCTTCTACTTCTATTCATTAACTGAACCCCAATCCATACAACATGCCTAGGAGTATGTAGCAGTGGCCAAGATACCATTGGTAACTGTCTTCAACATGAATGCAGAACCTCATTTTTCAACAGAGGAAATGGACTTCCAACAAGTGAAAGGACAGACGTCCTTGACAAATAATTACTCTTCATATTAGCCAAAAGAGCCATCATAAGCTAAATATTCTCAGCAAAATATTATATTACCACAGAAAATACAGTACAAAAATACTTTTACAGCTGTCCCAAGAGAATCTCAATAACTCTTGCTACTACCACTCCATATGTAGTTTCAACTAGCAAATTAATATACCTCTTTTTAAAAGCCATTTTTGTGAGGGGAAGAATGAAAGAAAGTGAAAAAGAAATATTGTCTCTCAAGGGTGAAGTAGATGTTCGTAATTCCACAGTCAACTTCTTGGGTCTTAAGGATTGGATATTGAATCTGCCTGTTGAGGAAATGGAAGTTTGAAGCCAGGACAGACTGGCACTCAGAGGACAGTGGGATGTTGTATTGCCCACATCAACTTACCCTGCCCCATTTTCCTCATCTGTATGCTGTTGTCAACCTTACTTCCTGATATCTTTTTAAAAGTACATCTATGGCATTCCAACTTCAAGGGGGTTTCAAAGGGACAGTGCCCAAGGCATGAAAGGATTTATTTAATGCACAAATAAGTAGTCCTAAAATGTTAAAATCTTTTCAATACACCACCTGACCTAGAAAAGCCAGGTATCTCTGTGTGTGTGTTTGTGTGTACATATGTATGTGCATATGTGTGTGTGTGTGTGTGTGTGTGTGTGTGTGTGTGTGTGTGTGTGTGTAGCACCAAGGACTTGTGGGAGGGGAAGAATATGACCAAAATATATATCATCAACTTGAGAGAGGCCAGGGGGTGGTACATGAGAAGGGTTAAAGAGGAAGGAGAAAATGATGTAATTATATTTCAATTTCAAAAAAATAAGAAAATATAAAAAAGGAGCATTAATGATTGAAGGAAGAATTTGGACTAGTAAAATGGAAGAATAACGTGTTTTCCTACAAAGCATTCATGAGCTGTAAATGGGATTACACACAAGCTACAGTGTACTACCTCTAGTTTAATAATTTTGTAGTACTCAAAGGAAATCAAATTCTACTAATTTTAGATATTCTAACAGCATTGACCATTTGACTCTGATCCTGAAAATATAGCACACAGACATGGACAATTAGATGAAAATGATGATTGTTTACAGGAACTGTAGGTTGTTCCTGGTTAATCTGCCTTTGTTATGTGCTGAGGGACAGATAGAAACATTCAATTGTAGAAGCTCTGGTGGCACTGGCACAGAATGTAATCCCTAGTAGTCAGATTGTTTTCCCCACAGAGATCCAGTGCTTGAGACAATCAGTCCCTGAGTAAATTCGTGTTTCTTTTCAAGTCCAAGATCAAGTGGACTCATTCTATGTGCCTCTAATGGGTGTGTCAGATGGCAGTGACAGACAGACAGCATGGTGAAATAATCTGCTCAGCCCATAGGCAGGAAACAAAAGAGAAGAGGAAGAGGGCACACAATTGAGGGCACATCCTTAGTGACCTGAGCTTCTTCCACAAATGCCCCGCCCTAAGGTCCAGGGTCCTTTCAGATAGTCTACCACAGAAAACAAGTAAAGACTCTCAGATTGCTGAGGACTGTTCAACAATCAGACTATTGATTATGCTTTGGAGAGAAGGACACATAGGAGCAAACAAAGTAAGTCATCAGGGTAGGCCCTAATCTAATCTAACTGGTGTCCTTGCAAGAGGAAGTTGAGGCACAAACTGGCATAGAGGGAAGACATTGCAAAGACAGAGGGAGAGAACGACAATTTACAAGCCACAAAAAAAGACCTCAGAAGCTACCAAGGCTACTGACATCTTGATCTCAGGGTTGTGGCTTACAGATCTATACCTTTTAGGTACAGAATGTGCCATCTGTTGGTGATACTTTCTTATGCCATTTCTATTAAGCTAATCAACATAGCATGTATGGATCTATCTGTGATCCTGGCTTGCCTCTTGAGGTTTATCTGTGTGTACTAAGCAGACTGAAGAATGAAAGACAAGCCTTGGGGCATCAGGTTAGTGGTAAGGCACAGACAAACGTTCTCTTCATACTGAGATGCAGGCTGTAGAGCCATTTTCATTTTAAAATATCTTCAGACACCTTAAGGAATTTGCCCACAACACTGTGGACACAGTTTCCCAGATCCTTCCCATTGCCTCTTCTCTCAGCATTCCTACATGGGACTACTCCTCTCTCTGCAACTTTAACTGAAACTCTCAAGGCACTTTCTGAACCGTTGAGTCTACTTTTGTAAAGAGTCTTTCCTGGCTGACCTCAACCATTGCCTTTTTTACTCTGCTTCTGTAGGTAAAGATAGTCTCAAGTACTTAAGGGCTAGCTCTAAGCAGGGCCAGCTAAATTGCCGTTGGATTGCATTGATGCACTCTTGTGGATTTAAGTAGAGTTTTCTGTTTTTTATCTTATAGATTTCTGTCCTTTGTTCTTTCTTAACACGTTTCATTTTCTTTGAACACTAAAGGCAGTAATTTCTATGTAGGGAGTGCCCTTAATATGCCTGGTGTTTTATATCATTAGCTGTATCTTCAAACATACCTGTTATAAAGGTTAGGAAATATAGGTGATATTTGTGACCATTTTCATAGGGAAGAAATATATTATCTTAAAAGACCTCAGTGGGCCTGAAATTTTAGCCAATCTAATCTAAAATCCAGCATTTCCTAATAGTTATGTGCTTTGAAATTTTAGTCAAATTCATGTCACTGTTCCTACCTTTACCCTGTTCCATATACTAGTTATGCTGCTATTTACTTAACGTTTCTTTTTACTCAACTGAAAACTTCAGGCTTCTATCATTTTAAATAATATGCAGTTATACATTTGATGTAACAATTGTAGTTAAAATGTGTAAGTATTCTGACCAGAGCAAAGCTATTCTGAGGAGAGACACTGACTTTCCATCAGCTATCAGACTATTGAAACAACGGTCCTGAAGGAATTGGAATTTACACAGAAATCTCATGCTGGGAGAAGGAAGAGGCTGAATCCTGGTGTCAGTCAGAAAAGATACTTATATTCCAGGAGGAGAGTTACACAGTTTTGGCAACTTGTCCAACCACCTTGCTGGATAGACTAGAGCAGAGACATTGATGCGTTGGTGCTGGGCAGGACCATGCATTGATTAGGACTGCTAAGAGATGCATACCTCTCTCACGTTCTTTAAGTCCAAACCTTATGCTTTCTTCCTCCAGGATGGAGATTCCTTTCCAGGCATGCTCCCATAGAGTTTCTCGAGCAGTTCGCAGGATGCTCGTTTGTTCATGAAAACCTCAGATTGCTTTCATAACAAAGTAGCTTCCAGAGTGAAGGAGCCATGTCTGGCAGCGCTGGATCGTCCTCTGAGCAAATGTTTTACATTTAGTTTCGATCACAGTAGTTTAAGGCTATTGTATGTTAGAAAATGCCACACTGACACACTGAATTTGCCACTGTTGCGAAGATTTTTGTAGATTTTATTCACTTCGATTATCAACCAACTTTGAAGTCTATCCTCTATAGCAGTGTGAGTGGGTCTCAGTCAATCAAGTAAAGACCCCAAGAGCAAAATTTGAGGTTACCTGGGAGGAAGAAATGCTGCCTCAACTGCATCTCCTGCCTGATTTCCCAACCTGTTTTACAAATTATGGACTGGACAGTCCCCATTAGAGGACTTACCTTGCTTTACAAACACACATGCACATGCACGCACTGCACAAATGCACACTATTGGTTTTGATTTTCCAAAGCACCCTGACATACTGTGCAAATGCAATATGCATGCAGGAAGGCAGCCAAGATTGCAAGGAGCCTGAAAACCAGGAGGATCCCTAATCTGCAGCAGGTGTGACAAGTCGCTGGAGGTGATATTTAGCTAGAATAAATAGGAAGATGGGAAGTCTTAAATGAGATTTTGTAGCTATCTTCCTACATTTGAAGGCTTAAATGTGGGAGAACCAAACTTATTCTTGTTGCCTAAGAAAATAGAATAGTGCTCTAAAAGTAGAAGTTACAGTGGGCAGATCAGATCATTGTAAGCTAAGAGATGGCTAATTATGAGCACTAAGTTGACTTCCACTCAAAACATTGAGCTCATAGGGACCAGCATCCAATAAGAACTGCACTATGAAGTTAGAATAAGGACTCCTGGATTGAGTAAGAAAAAAAAGTGTGACCTAGAAGCTTTTTCTGAGCCCGGCAGAGTCAAAACGACAGCCCCCAATTACTGGGCATGCTTATGTGCTGAGCATCATGCCTAGCATTTTGCACATTTGATTAGTCAGCTTTATCCTTTCAAACCCTGAAGATGGACTTTTACATCTTTGCTAATAAAGAGGAACAAGGTTCATAAAAGCTTGATAGCTGGTCCAACATAATTCAATAAGTTGTAGTACTAGACTTGAAGGCAAGACCTGTGTGAGTCTTCAGGCTCCCTGTAGTTCTTATAATAGAGAGCAAGACCATGCAGCAAAGATCTACTTTTCTATAATAGTAAAATTTAAAATTTAAGCACAGTCCACCAGTTTATGTACTTGATCTTTAACATAGTTATCCCAATTATATCTTTCTCTTTCAGTCTTCAGTCTAACACAGAAAATGCATCTGGACAAGGCAAGACCTTGTTTGTCAAAGGATTCAAAGTATAAATTATGTATTCTTCTCTTAAACAAATACTGGTTGACTGAAGACAGTTGTTATTTCAGAATATAGCTACAGACAGGATAGGCATGGCCCCTGCCCCACCAAGAAACACATTTTCAACTATGAAAACAGATACTAAATTGAAATGTATCTATAAGTATTTAAAGACAAATTGTCACCAAAGCAAAGGAAAAGAATGGAACTCCTAGAATATTATGTGAGGTTTTTTTTTCTCTTTTATGTGAGACTTTATCTCTTCTAGGTCAGAAAAGACATCTCTCAGTGAGTGGCTGCAGGGTGAAGGGTGCATGATGTTTAGTAGGGACAGGGTACAACATGGCTCTGAAGTTGTAAGCTACTAGAATCCTTGAAGAACTGATCAACAGCTAGTGTGACTGCCTTATGAAGAAAAGCTGTAGAGTCTCAGAGGCATGAGATGCAACTGAGGAGTAAGATCAAGTCTACTTCATTCAGGACCATGGAAAATGTGTAATCTTTTAAAAGGAATGAATTAGAGATGAAGATAACTTGGAGGCTTAGACAGATCAACCGTAAGTTTGAAGATAAGATCATAGCTGGACCTTGGGTTGTGTATGGAAAGGTTATACATGGCAGACCTAATATGGTTACTCTCAGAACATTTCTATTTTCAAGACTGGCATCAGAAAACCCAGGCACTTGTAAGTCCCACCATTTTCAGAATAAGTAAGAGTGTGTGAGGGTTCCTGAACTGTGAAATAATACAGTTTATGCTGAAGACGTGCCTGTCCTTCAGGAGTCTGGAATTTTAAGACACCAGGCAGAGGGTGGCTACATGAGCACTCCTCAATGAAACCCATGAGATGATGAGCCTTTTGAAATATCCCCTGACAACACTTCACAAAACCTGTCATCTGTTGCTGGAGGGATAAAGACATTCTGGGGACTTCGCTGCATGGGACTCTTGGAAGTTTCTGATGGCTTCCTTGGGTGTCTACCTAATATGATTTCTACCTTGGCTCATTTTACTTTGTGTCCTTTCTCTCTAATGAATCTTAGCTATGAACATGACTATATGAGCCTCACTAGTCCTAACAAACTACTCAATCTGGTGGGAGCACTTTTGGAGACTCCTGGCACAGGAAGAATGGCTACTATAACCTAGAAGCCCACAGAGACCTTCAAGCTTCCTGCTTGATCATAGAAGGGCTTAAAGGCAGGGCTGGAATAGCCTGCTGCACCTGGGCAATTGAGCCTTTATATTTGCTTTACTACTGTAGGGTCTGGAAATTTCTACAGTGATTCACAGCTGGGTAATCAAAATTTAAAGATATTCACAAATTTTCAATGAAGACTCATAATAAATATTAAAAAGCCACTGTAATCCCCAGTGCCACTGCCCTAGATTTTCCAGGAGCATGCCGTGTTACCTTTGGGAGATCAGAAAGTCCATGTCATAGCTCTATACAGTTCTAACCTATCTGTCCTTATTAGAATTCAGATGCACTAATGAGTGCAATAAAGGTGTACTCCAGGGCATTTCAATTTTATGCCTTTATATTAAGTCATCCAATCTTATGGTTTAATGCCCTCTTTTGATGGATACAATTTATTATACAGGACCAAGAAAAACAAGTCACGCCTTTGAATTTTATCTGTTAATTGCAAAAACTGTCAATAGAAACATACTAGAAATCCACTGCAGAACATATTTCACAAAATACAGCAGATTTCACTGCTGCCAGTAGACCAACGCTTAGAAGCATTTTTTTTTGCAAACAATTGTTTTATTCATTCTTTCCCAGGAAAGAATTAAAGGTCATAAAACATTTGGGAGATTAGACACTGGTATAGAAAATGATCTTGCTTTCTAAAGTAACAACCAAGCAACACAACTCTGTTTCCTTTCTGTGAAATCCAGCTGCTTTATTTCTGATGTCAAAAATCTGAATTTATATCACACACTCAAAACTCACCCTCTTATCATAAGCTACCACTTGGGAAAGTCACAAAGCTATGATACCTGACACCTCTAAGGAGCCTGATACACTGTCCCTACGGGAGAGCTCATTAAGAAATACCAACAAAATGTCTTCACCTTTAAGAGTACAAGTAGAACTTTCCCAAATATTTACAGGGCACTGTTTCATAAGGTGCTTGTCATCTGAAATAGCCTTCAGCAGTTAGGAATGGTCCTATCTAGATGTATTGAAATATTGAAAGGATAAGGCCAAGTGTTGAACAGCAGATGCACATTACTATTACTATTACAGTGTAGAGGAGAAATCTACACTAAAGTATAGGAACTGGAGGGTTTTGATGGTCAGAAGTAGGGTAGCATTTCTGATAAAGTTGACACAGATAAATGAACATTCAGGAAGGCACGTCTTGAATAGGATGGTTGAGAGGAGAACATAGTCACAGAGGTAATACAAGGTAGGGCTAGACAGGTAAGCACAGAGTAGCCCAGGATACAGTGTGAAGCTCATAACGAAAAGTGTGGGAATGAATGATGTATTTGGAGCAGGGATCCTTTGTTTTCAAGGTGACACCTGCCAGAATGGAGGTATTGAAGAAGCTGAGAGCCACTGAAAGAGAGTTCTGGAAAGAACCTGGACATGTGAAACAGCAACAAGCATACCTATTGAAATGATATTAAATTGTATCAGAAACAGAACAGAAGAAAGAATCATATATGCTACACAACACAGGAGAACAGCCAGTCATCACTGGAAACACTTACTGGGTTTTCTAGATAGTCTTAGATTCTACATTCTCATAATGTACTGAACCTCAGATTTGTAATCTTCATCATAACTATAATGAAGAATTTAGTAGTGTCATTATTGCTTTGTTGTTATTTTCTTGGCTTCTCAGTACTTGAAGGCTGGGATTGTGTTTCAAACACCTGTGGTAGGGCATAGCATAGGTAACTATTTGAAAGGTGTAACAAATATGCAGGCATGCTAGGGAGAACTGAAGCTGCACAAACTAGAAGGGAGTGTCTAGCCATAGTTGCTCACACATAGCTTCTTAAATTGAGGGTCATGACTCCATGTGGGGCTGTGTGATTAAATGTGGGGAGGTGCCACATAAATTTTGACAAAAGTAAGAGGTTTCTGAATATGCAGTGACCAAAAATTAATTAAAAAACAAATGTATAATGAGTCTGAAGTATTTCCAGCAGCATTTACCAGTGACATTTAATGTTTTTATTCACATGCAACTTTGTCTGCTCTTACAGAAGCACGGTGTTTTAATTATAGAAATCAAAGGATTTTAATATTTTGCTGCCATCATTCTATAGTATAAATTAAGATATATTTGTATTGAGCTGTGTTAAATTTTTTATTTTTAAAATTGTAATTTGAGAGGTTAATGGGAATAACTATGATAAAAATGCATATACACAGGTATCACAAAGTCAAGATGAGACCCATCTTTATGTATAATCCATTATATGTTAATGAGAATATACAAAAATATTATTTGACTTGATGACTTGATTCTCATAGAAATTATCAAATAAAATTTGGTTTGTGGCTTAAACATCATTCCAACGATTTTTGAAATATACTTCTACCACGTTGTACCCTTTATTTATGGGACATAGACTTTCAGCAACAGTGATTACAACATCAAAATATCAATCAACTCTGAAACATGTTGAAGATGCAAAATTCAATCATGATATAATATAATATAATTATATTAAATTATATATAATATCACATTACTATACAAAATTTCTTTGTGTAGTTGTTGTTTATAAATAGTTGTATACTTATATACCTCAGCCACATAAAATTTTCTCAAGCAGAAAGAGGTCACAAGTAGAAAAGTTAAAATGCCCTGATTTTTATCACATTGTACTAGAGAGTGAGTTGATAGGGTTTGTAAGTAAATGGCATATCAGAGGCTTCTTAATCTTATGAGTGACAATTGTTCAAATCTCTATATTACATAATGGACTATATTATTGCATTGAGTATAGTTGAAGAAGTAACAGTGAATAATCTCAAGGCTATTGGATGAAGAGAGCATGTCTAAGTAGGATTGGGAAGTAAAGACGACTTTTCATGCGAAACTGGAAGAAGAGGCCTCTAATCCATATAAAGTCCTTTTAGCATTATGAAAGGCTGTGAAGCCATTTCCTTTCGATATTGAGATCATTTTGCATACAAACAGAAAACTGCTTCTCTTTAAATGTCACCTTAATGAGTGAATGAATGAGCAGATGAGGGAATTAGTGCTAGAAGGCTCTTTGTGTTACAACTGATTGGCTGCTGATGATTAGCTAAGTAATATATCCTATCCTCATTCTAGAATTCTGTGACTCAGTAACTCATCCCACATTCTCAATAATAGGATGCTAATATGTTCTAAGTCCTTTAAGAGCATCTAGTTAAGCTAAGTGAAGTCATTAAGAAAACACTGACTATGTCTATCAAGCCTATAGCAAACTATTACATATGTAAAACCATTTACACAATCTCCTCTCTTATCTAGAGCCATCCTAGAATGCAAGTGACCAGAAAAAGCAATCAAAGTGTGTATCATGTCTGTGTCCTGCAACTTGTGACTTTTATGTACTTAACACACTCCAGTCTTCACAGAGCCCAAGTAGTGCATGTTTCTTGTCAGCTCCCAAAAATCCACAGTGGGAGCAGAGTGACATATTGTGTGTTTGTGGGGGTGGGGTGGGCTCTGGGGAGACAGACTTTCTCAAGAGGAAGCAATACTATTTAGAAGCAGGAGAGTAAAAAAAACAGATTAAAACAATCCAAGTGTAAACATGTAAGGTGAACCAGCACAGAACACTGGGACTCACATGGAGTGGACAACTACTGTCTACATGTCCTTGCTTCCCAAATAATCACATCTATATAAAACTGATACATGGCCACCAGAGCACTTTTTTACCCTAAAAGAGACAAAAAGAACATCATGTAAGTTCATATATCTATGTTTAAAGCTAGAGAAAATAACCTTCAACACCTTAAAGTTACAGGATTTAGTCTGAGAAGCATGAATGAAGTAGGATATATTATATTCTGCTGACAGTGATGTCTAAATAAGACATCGCTTCATGATCTTTATTATTAAAATATTGAAAAATCCCCTTGACAGAATTTGACACAAGAAATGCCAAATTTCTTAAGAAACTGAAATATAATCTCCTTTTCCCACCAAAAGACAAAATTCTTAGGAAAAGATCCCACGCTGGCTTTCTGAAGAAATTGCCTTTAACTTCGGACTTGAAGTTCTAACAAACTCCATGACACAGCTTTCCCTGGCCATAAACAATAGACCCTAAAGCATTTTGTAAATGGGGTCTTGACGGATGAAGCTGAGCATATTTAAGGTATGCCAATATTATTTTGTAACAGCTTAAAACAGCAAGGCTTTCCCCAGACTTCCATGGTGAACAATGTTACATTTCTGCCTCTGTCCAATAACCAGTTAGGAGTTTTGACCAATCAAGACACAAGTGAGAAATCATTGTTGACTGGCACCAAAAGTAGCTGAACACTAAATTACACTGAAAAAAAATCTCAAGATAAAAACCAAGGTGAAGAAACAAGGACTGATAAAATCCTTTCTCCAGACCATCTTTCTTATATGGTCTCTCTCAAAAGCTTCCCCTTGCCAGGCCTTTCATGAACCTATCTCTCTTTTCAGCTATTCTCACCAAAATATTCTTTCTTTATTTACCTTTCTATACCTCAGCCAACATTTATCACCCATTCACTCAGAATCCACATCATTTTCAAGTTCTGTATATAAATGTTTGGAGATAACCTGTTTCCTTCGATTATGTAGGGAGCTTGTACATCAGTACCATATTTCAACCCACGAGAGCATGAATTTGGCTCTCTGAGCCCCTGATGTCCAGCTTGCATGACAGTGCTCCAAAGACAGACAAGAGGACTACAGAGGCCTGACACCTGCCAGTAAAATATTCATAGAGGTCAAGGATTCTTAAACGGTTTGAGGCAGTGAACTTACAGAATTGCTACAATATGTATTTTAAACGTAATACAAAAAAACCACAATAAAATATATAAAGAAGAAAAAGAAAAAATGTTACAATGAAAAAAGGACTTTTTTTGCTTACAAAAAATAGTAGGCATACTTTTCAGAAAACTGAAAGACAGAAAACCTCCAAGAAAAATTAAATTCCCTTATACATGACTCAGATATGCCTACAGTTGACATTTTGGAACACACTCATCTATTCTTTGATCATTGAAAACCTATCAGCTCTGTTTTCTCCATCGGGGCCTCTTGCTTAAGCACAGAAACCATTCCAATGAGGCTTTCTACACCATTCCAAGAGTATGTGGTAAGCGAAAGCTTTGACTGTCATCCTCCTAGTTTACCTTATCGACAGTTCAGAGAAAGTAAATGGCAGAGCAGTGTGAAGAAGAACATGTACTGTAGAGCTAGAGAGTTGGAGTTTGAATTTTGGCCAACACGAGCCTCCCGGCACTTTATTTTTCTCATCATTAAAACATGGGTGGTGATAAAGTTTCAATAACAAAAATCCTTTGTGGTGTTATTATGAGAATCAAATGGGTAAATCTATAAAATACTCAGAACAGCACTACCATGAATTAAGCACACAGTCAGCACTTCCAGTTCTGAAGGCTTCAGGTGATGCAATGGATTACTTATAGCCAAGGGTTCTTAC